GAACAATAAAGATTTAATTTAAAAAAAAAGAAACCATGACAAAAAGATGAGCAATGGGGTGAGGATAACCCTACTAGATATAGGGTATAATACAATAAAACCTCTATAATTAAAAGCAGGGAATAGCATGCAAATAGACATATAGACAATGAATAGAATAGAAAAAACAGAGATAGACCCACTGCATAGGAAAATTTAATAAACGATAATGACAGCATTTCAAATTAATGTGAAAGTAATCTACTTATTAATGTTAGGATAGCTGGATTGCCATATTTAATAAAAATAAAACTGGAGCCATTCATCACCACTATACCCCAGGAAAATTCAAAAAGGTACAGAAATATAAAAGTAAAAAAATAAAACCATACAAGTACCAAAAGAAAATGTGGATAGGTTCTCCTATAACCTGGTAATATGGAAGACTTTCTTGTGACTCAAAATCCAGAAGCAAAAAGGGGAAAGACTGATGAATATTTTGTTGATAAAAATGAAAAACTTTTGCACGGCCAAAAAAAAGGGGGGTGGGGGTAAGCATCATAAAAGATAAAGTAAAAAAAAAAAAAAAAAAGCTTGCAACAGTGGTTCTCAACCTTCCTAATGCTGCGACCCTTTAATATAGTTCCTCATGTTGTGGACCCCCCAACGGGACAAGCTGCCGCTGCCCATTGTTCCCCTGGTTGCAAGTCTCATGGGGTCCCTTCGAGGTTGGGGGATACGTGCCTGTGGGGGAATGGCAAAGGTATGCTCCTTGGAGGGAGAGCACACACTGGATTCTTTGTCCTGAGCATATTTATCTCTTTCGTGCAGGTGAAAATCTTAGGGGAGTTCTCAGGGGAGGGTCTTAATAGAACATTCATCAGCTTTCCAGGTGTGCTCTTTTAGGGTCATGGTCTCCACTGACTGGTTGGTGCCATTAGTCAATGTAATAGATCCCGAGGCAGCCACTGTGTTACTTGTCTGGTTTTTCTGCTTTTCTGGGCCTGGAGTTGAACTACAATTGAAGCCTAGATGTTATCTTTAGAGAGGAAAAGGTCAGGAGGTCTAAACCAAACCACATGACCAGTGGTATGCTAGGGCTGTGGTCGGCAAACTGCGGCTCTCGAGCCACATGCGGCTCTTTGGCCCCCTTAGTGTGGCTCTTCCTAAGCCTTAGGAGTACCCTAATTCAGTTAATAACAATGTACCTACCTATATAGTTTAAGTTTAAAAAATTTGGCTCTCAAAAGAAATTTCAATCGTTGTACTGTTGATATTTGGCTCTGTTGACTAATGAGTTTGCCAACCACTGTTCTAGGTTATCTGTGCCTTTCATTATCTTTGGGCTATTTTACAACTCTATAAATTATAGAAAACTGATGTGTTATTCTTTTCTATAGAAATACAAACATTTTGGCCTATGGAATGAAATTATTGCCCTGGTGATACTGACCAATTATGTGCCTATTACAAATCTATTTCAGCATTCCCAAATGTCTATATTGTTTTTTGCCATTACCTTTGAAAGAGTTGTAACATCTTACGGGTTACCTCATTAATTAATAAGTTAAATAAAATCTTAGGCATGCATTAATTTTATATTTGTATGAGGGTCATGATTTTCCTTTTTTGAAAATTATCTTTTAATAGTTTTGTAGGTTTCACTAAGATGCCCAGCAGATTCACCTGACAGAGCCAAGAAACTGCATTGCTAGAGAATTGCACCTCATGGACTACTTAAGCTTAGGCACTTGGCTCCCAGAAGTAAAACCCAAGTGGCAATATACATTTAACTTTACTATTTCTCTGAGGGGTTTTTTCCCTCTCTACAGATTGTATGTTTTGGCTTGGTTTCTAAGAATGTGGTTTTATGGTTTGACCATTTATTTAATGATCCCTCTACATCAGGGGTGGGGAACCTTTTTTCTGCCAAGGGCCATTTGGATATTTATGACATCATTCATGGGCCATACAAAATTATCAACTTAAAAAATAGCCTGCTGTATTTGGTCAAACATTTAATTAACTCATCCCTAATGCCTTGGCAGGGCCAGACCAAATGATTTCTTGGGCCTTATATGGCCTGCGGGCCAGATGTTCCCCACCCCTGCTCTACATGGATGACAGAGATCTCTTGGATAAAAGATAAAAGACACTTTGGTTTGTTAATCTTTTTTGTTTGTCTTTTTGTCTATCTTGAGCTCAAATCAGTTAAGAATTTCATAACTACCAAGAACAGGTCTTTGATATCTGAACAAATGAGGTTGTTATTTTTTTTTTTTAAATCTTTACAACTCATGTCTCTTGACCTGTGGGTGAAATGAAAAAAAAACACAAAGCTATAATGCTCTGTATCAGTAACTCAGAAAGACTTTTACCTCTTATTGTGTGTGAGAAATCAAATAACTTATCTCCAGAGGGTATTAGTAATTTAGATTTTAAAGTCTCTTAGTTAAAAGAACTGTT